TAACAAAATATCAGATAAAATGCAGTTTTTCACATGTAAATTTTTGTTTTAAATAGAAATAAAACAATAGAAATAAATTAACAATCCGACAAAGTTAACTATTTAGGACTTACATTTGATAGAAGACTAACTTGGAATCCACACACACGATTAAAAAAACAGACACTGAACAAACGATTTAAAATTCTTTATTACCTACTCAACAGACAATCAAAATTACCATTAAAATCAAAACTTTCGACATACACATACCTACTCAAACCAATTTGGATGTATGGGTGCCAAGTATATGGATCGGCCAAGTATTCCAATATTCAAAGATTACAAAGTTTTCAATCCAAAATTTTAAGACTAATTGTTTCTGCCCCATTTTATGTAAACAATAATACACTTCACAGAGATCTTCAAATCCCAACAGTTTTTTCATCCATCAAAACATATTACAGACGTTTTCATAGTAAATTACAAAATCACACCAACACACAAATACAATTACTCCATTCCCCACAATTACCACGTAAACGTCTGAAAAGAATATGGATAAGAGACCTCTTAAATGATTAATATAATTTCATTAATCCAGAGCGGCTGCCAATGGGTAGCTTTCTCTATAACGCCCATAATGCCAAACACACAGTCTGAAATCCAATCTGCTGGTTGTATATCATGCATGTACAGTTGTAGATATAAATAAATGAAGTCAAAAAAAAAAAAAAAAAATAGAAATATAATTCTCGGAATGCATTTCATTCTATTTATTTTTATTCGCCTCATAAATCAATTATATTAGTTCGCAATAGCAAAACGCTAATTAATATTATTTCATCTGAAATATTGCGATGTTTTGTTCAGTAGGAAAATCATCCTTTACGTTTATCTTGATTATCAGGTTTTGTGCGATTAAATAGGTTTATTTCTTAAATTATGGGTCTCGGGCTCATAAATTTCATTTAACATCAAACTTTTGATACAAAAAGATACCGATTATAAATTGCACAGTATTGTTTGTATATAAAAATCGAAACGCCGCATATTGATTTCAATTCGTTGCTTTATAGATTTAGAGTAAACTGAAGAGGATGTCGATGTGCAAAAGCCAGTGTAATATAAGCCTATAACATTACATTTATGGAGTTATTTAATATTTATTAAAATTTTAGTTTTAAGTTTGTATTTTTCCTGTTTAAAATTAAGAATAGCTCGTATAAATCTGCAAATTAATATTAACGCTAAATTATAAAAACATTTTTTTTTTTCATTATTCTAGAATTTGAATCTTTACAAACTAAATTAATATAACTTACCAATTTAATATACATTTTATAATTTATTTGGAATTTTAATAAAATATACTATGAAAAAGAGAGACTTTAAAAATATTTTGACGAACCATAATTTAAATTACTGCAGCGATTTCGATAAGCCTTACTTGAAACGCCGTGAAAATAAGATACCGTCAGTAATAATTACTTGGTATTGAAAAATAGCACAAAATGCTGAGGATCGGAATAACCAGAGGTCCGACAAATAAATTCAGCTATTTCATGGCGAACAGAAGCTACTATATTCCATGATTTTTCAATAAATGATGAATGAGAGTCGGCAAATAGTTGACTAATAATCTAAAACCTAATTCCTCCCCCCATGGGTCGTAGGTCCCACGTTGGGAAACACTGGTGTAAAGTATTTAATATCGACACTCATGGGTTACTTTATATTTGTTGTTATATTGTTCACTATAAACATAACACACAAATAATGTTATGTTTAAACATAGATTAATGGACGTTTTAGACGGGGTGTGTATTATACTGCGCCCTTTAAGAGCTTTTTATTCCACGTTTTGTGCTTAAAGCACACGGTAAGTCCTAGTTCATCAAGGAACTTGATTAGTAGGCTCGGTTTCAGTGGTTGAGTCTTTGTACGGTTACGCTGTACGCCCCAAACTTACTGCGGGCAAGTGTATGTTTAAACATATGAACATTTTTCTTTTTGTGAATGAGTAGGGATGCCTTGGTAGGAAAAGCACAAGTACAATAAAAACAAAAGAAAAATTATTATTTGGAGGTCATGAGATGCGGTCTGGTGTGACGTAGGGTTTAGAAAAACATTTTCCTTATCGTTCCAAACTTCCAACGTTTCGATCTTTATTGAGATCATCTTCAGGGCCTGGGATTTATTAACATTGTTTAACTATTACAAATACATGTAGGATGTGACAAAAGTGAATTTATACATAGCTAGAAATTTTAGACTCAATCAAAGTATTTGTACTCACTCAAAGTGTTAGTGTTCTGTGTAGATGTGTCATTATTGTGTATCGTGTTGAGAGTGCGATGATGCCCTGAAGATGATCTCCATAGACATCGAAACGTTGGGACGATAAAGAATATGTTTTTTCTAATCCCGAAAAAAACATTATTTGACTTGTTATTTGCACAAAATTATGTGACGTTTAAAAATGTAAAAGACAATAATGCCATATTTGGTGGTTTTAAACATTGATCTAATGAATTAGACATGATTATTAATTGCATTTCGATATAGATTATTGTTTATTCTAAGTAAAACCACAAGTCTGTCCTGGCGAATTAATTATGTTATACATATTTGTGTGGTCCGCGACAGCGTCGAAAAAAAGTCACAAATCAAAGGGTAAAACGATGCTATTTTTTTAAACATCTAGGTCTAACGACCCGGAGAGGCGCAGAGGTGTGTCTGACTTTATCGTAAAAACTAATATACGAACGGAAATTAAGAGAGAACATCCGTCAACTGCAGTCATAAAACCGTGTTGTGTTCTGGACACGGGCCAAAGCGTGGGAGGCTGGCTACTCGGTGTTACCGAAACTTTAATATAACCGACGGTTGACAGGTGTTCAAGGATGGGCACACCCACTTCTAGTAGTTTTCCCTAACGATATTGGTGTCCGGTCTGTGTAATGAAGATGGACCGTCCTACATTCGAGGAGAACACTCTCGCTGAGAAAGTACGTTGACCCAACTTATTCAATAGGGGGATATGGATTTCGCATTTGTTTTCCACCCTTGGTACGACCTCTCTTTCGTATATAAACGGCCGAGATGTGGAAACGTTGATTAAATACCGATAAATAACAGCCATCTGTGGTCTAATAAAATATCAATATAGACAATGTTAATTAGTATGCCTATATTTTATTTATTTCATAGGTTCTTTAAATAATGGGTCGCCAATTCTCGCTTTGTTATAAGGCTGACTGAACCATCTCAAGTGTTATAGATTAATATAATTAAGATTAATTTCAACAGCTACAACTCAACACTAACACCATCCACTATTACAAATAATACTACATCAAACCTATCAAATGCAAATAAACCATACATTTCCATGCCATTCATTCAAGACCTATCACATAAATTAAACACATTTCTCTCTTCTGATAACTTTAAAATAACATTTTAAAACTATAAAACAATTCACGCACTTTTCCAAAATTAAAGATCCCATACCAGTTACAAATAAGCCTTAGGTAATTTACAAAATCAATTGTTTAAACTGTCTGGCAACTTATATCGGTCTTACATCCCAATATCTGGATAAGAGAGTAAAGCAACATATCTATGACTGCAAAAAACCCAAGCAAAATCCTACAGCAGTCGCTACCCACCATTTTGAAACACAATTTCGAATTCAACAATCCAAAAGTATTACACAGAAAAAACGTAATTTTTTAGAAATGGTTTACATCAACAGAGATAAACACAGCATCAATTACAGAACATACACATGTAAACTTAGTCGCAGCTACGCCAATAACATTAATCAAATTCAATATCGATAATACACATATATCATCATATCGCACAAAACATATAACATATAAAACATTCATTGCATTCCACATATGAAACATTTTTACATAGTCTAATTTTTCTTTTTCCTAATTATCCCCGTCTGTATAATCCTGAAAGGATAATCTGGCCGAACCATTACCAACGTTTTTTCCCATCGTCGGCTCTTTTCACCTCAAAGAAGCCGACTCCTCACCTAATACAAAAATGTCTTTCTATACTGGCTTCGTTCCCCACCCCTTCAAAATCCAACGTATATAAACATAAAACAGCAATATCTCACTGGAACTCACAATACGACACGCAAGAATGGCACAATTACACAGAAAACAAACACTTTGAGAGAATAGAAACACTTTGATTGAATGTAAAAAATATTTTTTGGATTGTGTGGTGATTAGTGACCGTTAGTCGATGATTATTCGAAAATTGAGAGATGCGGTCAGGTGTGATGTAGGTTTCAAAAGAACATTTTCTTTATCGTGCCAATGTTTCGATCTTTATTGAGATCATCTTCAGGGCCTGGGATTTACAAACATTGTTTAAATTTAACAAATACATGTAGGATGCGGAAAAAGTAAATTTATACAATGCAAAAATATTTTTTTTATATATTCAATCAGGATAATCTGGCCGAACTATTACCAACGTTTTTTCCCTTCGTCGGCTCTTTTCAAATCAAAGAAGCAGACTCCTTGTACAAAAATGTCTTTCTATACCGACTTCCTTCCCCACTCCTTCAAAATCCAACATATATAAACATAAAGCAGCAATATCTCACTGGCACTCTCAACACGACATGCAAGAATGGCACAATTACGCAGAAAACAAACGCTTTGAGTGAGTACAAATCCTACATGTATTTGTTAAATGTATGTAGGATTTGTAAATCCCTGGCCCTGAAGATGATCTCAATAAATATCGAAACGTTGGCACGATAAAGAAAATGTTTTTCTGAAACCTACATCACACCAGACCGCATCTCACGATTTCCGAATTATTATTATTATTATTATTATTATTATTATTATTATTATTATTATTATTATTATTGATGTAATACTGAATAGTAAACAAAATATACAGAATTGTTGATTTTTTTTTCGTTTTAGTGTTCAATTGACCAAGTTAATTCTTTCAATTAATTATTCTTTCTATGTTAGGTCTTCGTTGAGATCGTTGAGTATAATAAAATTGCGGAAAAAGTTCAACAATAAAAATCACAACTCAACAAGGTTTCATACCTTGAGGAAGGAAGGTAAGGAAAACCTTTGTATAAGAATTTCACTGATTTTATACACACTTACCTTCTCTCAATACGCAGTTTTTAAATTTTATTCTCCCTTTTTAAAAAGGCGTCGCCTAGGAGACGATAAATCAAAGGATAAATTGTGAAAAAGAGGAAAAACGAAGGTTTGAATTTTTCACAACGGTGGGGTGTCAATCTACGACTCAATTAACGAGCTGGTCCGTGGAGCGGAGAGAATCTTCGAAGAATGACTCAGTCCAATTGATGATTAAACAGGGCTTTGAGTTGAAATCAGTGAAGAAACCCCGACTTTCATTCAGAGAAGCCCGGTTAAGTCTCATGTCAAGTGATGCAGAAGTTTTTTTTTTTATCAATGCCGGGAGTCAAAGAAGTCCACCGGGACTCTCAATTCACCAATGTATTTAATTGTAGCTCGAATTTCACCGTTTTATATTTAAATTTTGCACAGAAAACAAAATATAAAAACAGCCCCCAATACCAAAGCGGCAGTAATTGACAATTATCCATTTTACGTTTTAGTGATCAATTGACCAAGTTAATTCTTTCTATGTAAGGTCTTGGTTGATATAAAAAAATCAGTGTCTCCAGCGGGAGTCGAACCCACGACCCTCGGCTAAATACGCCGCTGCTCTACCACCTGAGCTATGGTGACTTCGATCCTCTCGGACACTAACTCTCCATCTCAACCTACAACCGTTCGAATTTTTCCTCTTTTTTGTCATTTTCGAATGTCGTGTAATCGGGATTGGATTTTCACCGACTTACGAAGTGTCCACGGGGAGCTGTTTAGTGAAGTATACTTCTTTTATTTATTAAATATTAATCCATTTTACGTTTTAGTGGTCAGTTGAGCAAGTTAATTCTTTCAATTAATTATTCTTTCGATGTAAGGTCTTGAGTCAACGTCTTATTCTTTTCTATGTAATAATTAATTGAAAGAATTGACAACTATCCTTAACACTAGCATTTCCTTGTAAAAAAAATTTAGTTCTTTGTGAGTAGAGATTAGTGACCGTTAATCGATAGTAATTCAGATATCGTGAGATGCGGTCGGGTGTGATGTAGGTTTCAGAAAAACATTTTCTTTATCGTGCCAACGTTTCGATCTTTTATTGGGCACTCTCAACACGACACACAAGGATGGCACAATTACACAGAAGACAAACACTTTCAGCCCTGAAGATGATCTCAATAAAAGATTGAAACGTTGGCACGATAAAGAAAATGTTTTTCTGAAACCTACATCACACCCGACCGCATCTCACGATATCTGAATTACTATTTAGTTCTTTATAGAATTTAAGCTTGTTTTTTCAAAAATGCACTAATGAGCAACAATTTGTTTTAAAACCATTGTATTCTGTTTTTTAAACATTATGCGTATATATATTTAAATACAGTTACATGAAATGCTCTCAGTAATGACCCCTGGCACCCAGCATATTTTCTTTCATCCGCTCGTATTCCGATTTTTTCTCTAAATTTTGCAATGAAAAACATCATAATTTTATTTCCTTATTTAATGTACATTTTTAATTAAAAATCAGCGTAAACTAAGCGCGTACTAAGCTGGCCGAGCTTGTATATATATATATATGTAAGCAACGAATGCCTCATTCGTCTGTATTTGGTCATTTCCTATTCAGGCTGACTAAAAACTTGAATCTTCCAAAGATTTGCTTGTGCAGATGTAATGATTGAAAGGAAAAAAATCTGGTTATCTGGTAGTGATTTTTATGATTCAAAACATGGGCATCAGAGGGTAGTTTATGTTGACCTCAATCAAACAAGCAGCTTGGGAGCATATTCTTTTTCTCTCTTGGCAAATATAGTAGTAATCTTTCGAAGTGTTGCTATTCTAGATGTAATTTATGAGGAAGATAATTTGATAGAGAAACATAGTCTTGAAGCATGTAACTGTATGGATATCTGGAACTATACCGAAGGTTATCTGGTAGTGATTTCAGGATTATTTGTGACCAAAGTCTCCTCCTCTTTCACTGGAACCCAAAATATATATTGCGGAATTAACTCTTTATTCCCAAGCCTCGAAAAATGCATTACTGAATTGTTGACCCCTAAGATTACCTTTGCGCTGAGGATGTACCGGTCCCGGCCAAAAACATAGCCGTCAAAAAGGCCGTGTTATGTCTCTGCTTCGTCATGACAGAGTCTACAGGTTTCTGTTTTTGCTATTTTTAAGGTGGTTTTTGTTATTAAATGGGAACGTGTCAGTATTGTTTTTATCAATTCTTGCATACTGAGGAGAAGTAGATTTTTGTTGTGTGGTTGAGATGTTGAGATGTTGAGAAATTTTTTTGATTGTTTTGAATTGTGAATTTATCCAGTGTGGTCATTTTGTTTCCACCCATTGGTTTAGTTCCGCTTTACCTATGCCTCGAGGCGGGCCAATTTGCGGTTCCCGTCCAATGTGTGTGAAGGCACTAGGTCATAAATGTAGCTCTCCCTTTATTAGTTTAATAGTTTTTATTTTTTTAAACATCCCTTGTTGTTATTTTCATTTCGAAGGGTCTGGGAAAATTGTTTTGTATTTTCTTTTTGTCAGTCATATTTTTATCCATCTCATTTATTTGCATTTTCTTATGCAATCCTTTGGAAGTATGTATGGAACGGTTTATTGCTGAAAAAACCAATCATGCTAATGTTCTACATATGACCAGAGTTAGTAGACTCTTTTTGGATTTATACCCTATATTTTACGACAAAATCTTTGACCCCGCACTTGTTACAGCCTTCGCTTTTTCTATAGCATTTTTTGTATGTTTCTTCTAGGTAAACTCTTAATTAAATTTATTCCGAGATATTCCTGGATAAAGTTATAATTTTTAAATAGGGTCCTTTTAGATTAAGCTTCCTTCTACTTGTAAAAGGTATTAGGGTGGTTTTGTTGTCTCACATTTTTTTGTAAATTGAGAACACTTTGCATGAAAGAGAGAGAAAAGAAAAACAATTTCATCATATTTGCTATTTATTATTACTACTAGGTCAATCACATAAACTACGGTGAGGATTTCACCTATTTAGCTCTACAATTAGTTCAGGCACGACCAACAAAAATAAGACTGGCGATAGTACACCCCCTGGGGGACATCCTTGTTGTGGTATTGGATATATGGTTGACCACGAACAAGTGCTTACTTACATCTTGCGAGCATGTTAGTTTTCTGTCTTCACCTAGATACTAGAAGTCTTTCAAAGTCTTGCTATTCCAGATGTAATTTATTTTTTATGTGTGGTGATTAGTGACCGTTAATCGATAATTATTCAGAAATCGTGAGATGCGGTCTGGTGTGATGTAGGTTTCAGAAAAACATTTTCTTTATCGTGCCAACGTTTCGATCTTTATTGAGATCATCTTCAGGGCTCAAAGTTCTAGGTAACACAGAAGACAAACACTTTGAGCCCTGATAAAGATCGAAACGTTGGCACGACAAAGAAAATGTTTTTCTGAAACCTACATCACAGACCGCATCTCACGATTTCTGAATATTTATTTTTTATACTAGTATTTTATCTATTTTTTAAACGCAACAGCAGAGGTTATATCAACCCTCGGGGTGCCGATGTAAAAAAAAGCCCATTTGTAAGCGTCGGGTTCGATGCAGGGCCGCTGGATTCGAACCCGGGACCTTGACCTTACAGTAATGAGCGCCGTGTCAACGCCCAAACCGTTGCGGCCACCGACCCCCCCCACCAGTTTATAAAAGTTCAAATTTGCTATAAAAGCCAAAGAGACGTAGATGTAAAATATGAGGCCTGCCAAAGAATCGGAAAGTGGATCTGGTCATGATTTATATGAGCAAAAACTTTACATGAACCGCTAGTATTGTAATTTAGATTCACTAGGAACATGCGCTGCGCCTGCGATTATATTGCTTTTCTACCTTGGTTAAGGCAATAACGCTCAGATCAAACTCAGATTTATCTATTATCGAGAGGTCAAAAATAGAACAATATCAAACAATTTGAAAAGCTAGCAGCAGTGTTTCAAGTGTCTAACAAATTTAGAGTAATTTTTTTAATTTTCCATTTCGCTGCCCGAGAGCAAATTTATCACAATTTTTGACAAAGATAAAAAACGTATTTAATTGTTTGTGGATTGGTATTGTAAAGTTGTTATTGATATTATATAAAGTGTATATTACAAGATAACTTTGAAAATCATAAACACAGTTTCGTGCAAAACTTAAGCCCAAAATAAAATAAAAATAAAGCCCCACTTGGCAATCATTTTAGAAACGAATAATGAAATTGAGTGTGTCATGCTTTCATTCGCAAAATGGCCTATATGGACAGAAAAAACCAAACGAATGGACGAGAATTCTGTTTAAGCTTGAAAAAGACATAATTATATATATTTATAATTAACATATAATCATATAACATATGTATATGATAATGTGCTCCATTTATGAATACTTTTCGTTTGCTTGCAAAATGAAATGAATGTGATATAACATGCGGCTGTGAGCCCGTTTGCGGAAGAGGGCAGTCCAACAAATACATTGTCCGCACTGCCGAAGAAGTCCTTTGTTCTTGGAAAAAAATAGGGGTGGATCGAAGCGCAATTAGCAAACAGGGCGGCTTACGGTCGTAGTATGCTGTTATTGTGTTATTACATATTGTATACGCTCATGACATATTTAACGTTTAATGATTATTAAAACCAGGTCATTCATGAGAACGAAACATTTATTTTATGGCACGCTTTCGTTTATACAATTTAATAATTTTGTTCCTATGGTTTCCTCATAATCATTATTTATAATTCATTTACGTTTTAGTGGTCAATTGACCAAGTTACCAAGACCTTACATAAAAAGAATAATTATTTATAATGCGGGTCGATATCTATATTTAATGTTTATATTTTCAAATTTTGTTGATTTTTACTGTGCATGTGGTATATCATTTTACCGATAAATAATTACGTTAGCACTCGACGTGTCGGTGTGTTTTCTTTTACA